TCATAAATTATCACCATCTAGCAACTGAATATAATAAATGAAATGAAAATGTTTATTATGCTATTGTTTGTATTTCATATATCAAATGTATTATCAATAAATGTTAATGGTAAAGTAAATGATTTCTACATTTGCAAAATTATTTCTTTCTGCAACCAGATTTTTGGAAATGGAAGTATACTGTCAAGATTTTAAAAATATTGTTCGCGTTGACTTTTGGCCTTTACGACTACCAAACCGTTGCTGAGAGTCTTGTAGGAAGTCATAAAGATGTCAGTTGCAACTGAATGATAATACAGGTGGTCTACAAAGTGAAACTTGCAAATTGTAACCACCAAAAATAAAATCTTACTTTTCTAAACCTGTTTCAAACACAGATTACGGTTTTGCATTCAGATTTGCGTCATCACCCACCACTTCTCTACAATAGCGAATTTATTTATTACATATTCCAAAGTGGAGCTATAAGAGCACATACTTTCTCGCCCCTTAATAATGGTTATGTAATATCGTATATCGCTTTTCTGTCTATCAACACATCTCAGTCAAAGAGCGCTGTCAACAAAGCGTACATGCAGCGATGGGCGCTGCCAACAATGCACACATTTTATCAATTCTTGCTAAAAGCGCAATTTTTGCCATAAATAGAACACTATTGCTTGATTCGAATATATACAATTATTTTTCGCCATGCCTCCAAGATATTTCAAGTTAATTATTAAATGTTTTATTTTATTTTAAATGATGACTTACAACCAAACAAAACCAAAATTAGTCTTCATAATTAATTGAGAAATAAAACAGTTATAGATGCCTCGAAGACCAGAAAGCCAGCTAAAACGTTTCATATTCGCTGCCTGGTGTGCTGTTTTTTTTGGGAGGGGAGAATGAAATAGTAAACGAACGAAAACGATTACAAACATTTTTTCCAGCACATACAGACAAGCAAGGATAATTTCACAAATAAATGGAACATCCAGAAATAAATGTCATCCAATATATCCTATTATGAATGCATTCGAAACAACGAATTCATTACCTTATCTAAATGTTTTATTTTCTCGTCGCTTCAAACAATTCACTTTTAAATATAATGTTAATCACTTAACTATTCGTAAAAAGGTAGTATCCGACATTTACTTTCTTGGTTCTGAAGCATTTCATTCTTTAAATACAATAATAATACTCGAAAAAACGTGATGTAAAAAACATAACGAATGTCACTGGCTTCAATTCTTTCGTATTTTCTAATTTAATCATTAACTCGAAATATTTCGTTCTGAAGCAACGGAAAAACTGTGCTTTAAGTGCAGTGCAGAGATGTCATATTAGGCGACACTACTCCAAGTGGTAAAACCTGCAACTGGATCTTACATTGTTTGGTATTCTCAAAAAAGAACCACTGGTCATTTAGGGTTGCAAAAACATTTACTAGTGGGAACGGAACTTTTGGTAGACTACAATTAACAGAAATGGAAAACACTCTTTACAACAAATCAGCATAATATCAAAAAGAAAACAATATTACATAATAAAACACTCCTAAATGTTGTAGAGGTTGACTATAAGTACAAGAAAAAACAAGACACAGACTGTCTAATTTAATTAGATGAACTCAAATAAAACAACCAACAAGTGTACAATTTGGCTCAGAAAGAACGTAAATATTATTACGTTAGTTTTTATTGAATAACCTTCTTTAGTCAGTCATTCCCATATCCATTGTAAAATGCCATTATTTTTTACCAACCCTATTGGCACGCAAAACTATCATTAATCCTGGTCATATAAGCTACCCTCACCGCGCAATGTACTATTACAATAAGCATAAGCTAATATAATGTTCAGGTTTTCTTTCTTATTAACTATGATTGTTTAAATAACCATTCGTAAATCAATAGTTGTATCAGCTCTCTCCCCCTCTCTCTTTTGGAGCCTAGCACAAATAAATCACCTAGGTTATCTTGCTCCCTAGCTATTCTCTAAATTGGTTGTAAAGCAAAAACTGAGAAGCTAATCGCGCATTCCATACGAAAGAATTTTCCAACTTCCCTTGTTCCAACATAGCTGGCGAAAATGCTTTCAGGCATATCACATGCATAGAACACAAAGGACAACTAATCTGCAAATCTGACGAAATATCTAACGCTTTAGCGACCCAATACTCCAAAGCTCAAACAGCTACCCTAGCTCTCGGAAAAAAGAAAGAAGAAGTACTAGACAAGTACTAGACTTTACAACCGATGCAGATAAGCCATATAACGCTCTTTTCAATAGAAAGAATTGCAAGACGCCATAAATGCAACTAAAGACACCGTAGCACGATCAGACAATATCCCCAACAGCATACTACGCCGGTTACCGAAGGAAATAGTGTCCACGTTGTTAAACAAATATAACATTTGGGCAAAAAGTAATTACCCCAAAGCCTGGAAAGAAGTGATAATAATTCCACTTTTAAAGGCTGGCAAGGATCCATTGAAACCTGAAAACTATCGCCCGTTATCGTTGACGTGCTGTCCAGGAAAAATCTCGGAAAAAATGGGCAATAACCGGTCAACATGGTATCTCGAAAAAACATCCTCCTAAACATACATCAGTATGTATACCGACACCATTCTACAATAGATCAGCTAATATATGTGGAAAACGCAACTCAAAATACCTTCATCAAAAGAAATATGGTTACCGTATTCTTTGGAAAAATCTTTGATAAGAACTGGCGATATAACATTCTTAGACAGCTATATAACTGGCAAATAAGAGGAAATATACCAAAATTCATATCCAGCTTCTTTAGTACCAGATCCTTCCAAGTTCGCGTTGGGCAGCCCATGTCAAAAAGCTACGTAAAAGAGAATGGTGAACCGCAATGCTTTCCATTGAGTGGTACGCTCTTTACCATAGCGATTGACGATATATTTCACTGTATAGGTGCATAAATTGGTAAATACATGTATGTAGATGACATTGCTATATTTTATTCGACCCAATCAACCGAGAAAGTCAAATGCTATAACATCGTTCTACCCCCAGTTTTGAAACATAAACCATATTGTAACCAATTTTGCATCACTTGCCGGAATTCGCTGCGCGGATTGCGTCATCTGCCGGCGCCCCCCTCTTCCCCCCAACTGGACGGTTTCGGACTTTTCGCGAGCCGCGTGGAAAGGTGGAGCAAGTGCTGGTTGTGTCGAGACTAGCGCCGGCCAGGTATAAATTCTCCGCTGCCGGCGGCCGCGAGTGAGTAGTAGTAGTCAGTCGGAAGTAAGCAGCCGCGAGTCAGTATGTGATCTGTCAAGTAGTAAACAGTCAGTCCGTCAGTGTGTCAGAAGTGGAAGCTATGCTGTAAAGTGTGCATCGCGGTAAACAGCACTGCAGTGGACCCCGGTCTGCGCAGTATATAGTGGTCTGTGCTGTGAATTGTGGTCAGTGCAGTGAAGTGTGATCTGCGCAGGGAATTGTGGTCTGCGCAGTGAATTTTGGTAGGCGCAGTGGATGGTGGACAGTGCAGCGGACTGTGCAATAGTGTAGAAGAAGTGAACAGTGTAAATAAATAATCAAGAGAACGGAGTCGTGTGTAAGAAAAAATAATCAAGTGAAGAACACAAGAAATGTATAAAATATTTGTAAAAAAATAAGGTAGTTTTAGTGTATCATTGTTTAGAAGTAAACATTTTTGTTCAAATAATACCTGTGAGTGTGTTTTCATTCTTCACAAAGAAACGTTACAACATGAAATTCCAGTTTGGATGCTGTAAATGCCAGAATTTAAACTCGACTACCAGTGTAAAGAAAAAAGAATGCCTTCCCAAAGATTTAAAAGTAAAATTTCTATCAGTTCTTGAAGAATACATGGCAAGTCACACAATAATTTACACAGATGGTTCAAAAACAAAACATAGGGTAAGAAGCGCATTTGTAACTGAAGACATTAAAAATTTTGGATACTCCCACCAGAAGCAAGTGTGTACCTTGCCGAATTGTATGCAGTATTGCAATCTTTGCGTCACTGTTGAACTCTCAATTCAAGAAAATGCGTCATCTGCACAGACTCGCTAAGTCTTCTTACTGCAATAGACAGACGCCAAACTGTAGACCCACCACAACAAATGATTCTTATATCATGCCATAAATTAAAGCAGCGAGGAGCATCAGTTACGTTCATCTGGTACCCTGGATACATGAGTATCCAAGGCAATGAAGAAGCCGATTCTTCTGCAAGAAATGCCGAAATCAGAAACGGATATTGAAGTGCGATCTCAAGATGCAAAAAAATGCTGCTTCGAAGTGCATCCTCACAGCATGGCAGACCACGTGGAACAGCCTTCACACGATACTAAATCCGATTCAACAGAACAGTAGTAAATGGCCATCCCATGTCAGCTATCCTCGACGAGAACAAGTGTGCATAACTGGTCTAAGAATTGGTCATGCAAGAATAACTTCTTCATACAAGCTAGGAAATGAAGAACAATCCAACTGCAGCTGCGGAAGATTTCTGACATTGTGTGTGACTAAGACTTAGGTACAGATGCGGCATGAGAGGCAACATGAAGGAAGATCTTCGAACCGACAAGACGGCAACTGACAAAACAATAAAGTTCTTGAACGAGGCCAATCTTTTCTACAAAATTTAAGTAGCATATCATTAATTTTAATATCAATTAGTAAAACGGCGAAAAGCCTCAGTTGGAAAGTCTTCAAACAAAAAAAGAAAAATCTAATAATAATAATAATAATAATAATAATAATAATAATAATAATAATAATAATAATATATTGGAAAATATTAATAAAGCAGAAAGCCATTGTGAGGTGTTCTTTTACGTTTTCTCAAAATTTGCCGCGAGACTGAACAGGGGACTGTATCAGGTATAAAAGCCACCAATTGGATTATTTATAACTACCAAGCTGTACATGATTTAAATAACTTATTATTTCGAAATTTTGAATGCGGGATCAATTTTATGTTTGCATCAAGGTTAATTAGATTCATTCAAATGTAGAAGGTATTTTCTTAATTAAAAACTTCCTGATCTTTCGTCGTTTGGGCATAGAACAACTATTCATTCATGGTTCAGGGACATACTATATGTTCGGGGATGTATTTTCATGGCACAGAATGCTCAACACCTGTTTATCATCTTTGCGCCGTGGCAGCAATGCTGTGACGGAGATAACGACTTCGCGTTCGTTCGGCAATCTCGCTCACGAGAGAATTGATGTCGATGTCGCCGCCACGGCTTACGTGTTGTAAGGTTAATGCAGTAGTCGAAGATAAAGGAAATGCGCTATGTCTTTTGTGTCAGTGAATTTCATTTGTATTTTTGTGATCTTTTTAATCTCTGAGTGTGCTCTATCGTTCCCAGAAGCAGGGAAATGGGAACAAACGTATTATATGAGTAATGTGAGTATGAGGATATACGTCACATTGCTGTTAATTTTACGATTGACGACTCGTATGAATGAACTAATGTTGTTTGGTGTCGTTTGTGTCTTTTAATTTTAAACTATATTCACTGCTAACTGAATGACACTTACTTTCCTGTCAATCTATATGCTTTTGCAGGTTTCTGCTTCAAAGGAAATTAGGTTTCCCAAAAGTTTATATGCAGGATCAGAAATTTATATTACTGGTAAGCATTTTTCATTACATTAAAATTAACATTTTATAAGATACTGTTCCTTATTTCACAGTTTGGCCAAAATGAAAGATGTAGTTAATTTTATAAAAACAGCTATTATTTACAGGGTGAAAAGGCTAGTGACACACAGCAGATTTATTATAAATTACATAGTATGAAATCTTTGCAATCTTGAGTTGTAATTACTTTCCTTGATAGCATTTAAACATTCACATTGATTTGCGTAATAGTCCTACTCTACTCTTGTAAAGGGACAACATGGAATTATTGCACAACATAACTTTTGTAGTGCTGTTCAGAATAGTTATTTCATAAATTTAATAGAAACAATTTTAAGATACTCTTATCTGTGATGAAATATAGTATGACTAATTAATCTGTCAATTATGTTCAGAAATGCTTCTTTTATGTTACTTTTAGTGTCTAGCCATTTTGCACAGAAAATTTTGATTTCCCTCTTAAATTTTAATTGTAAGTAGGATATTAAGTTTATCTCCTAGTAATTATTTTTAGAAAGATTAAAAAAATATGAGGAATCCCTTTTTTTCTCCAGGAGAATAGAACCATTTTAGAGTGAATTGCTTTTCACAGGTTACTGTTAACAATTTACTGTGCAAATGAGCAATGTCCTGTTCTGTTAGTTGTCATAATATATTGTCTTCAACAGTTTGTGACATTGATTGCAAGATAATAGATCAAACAATATAATAGAAAAGTTCCCAATCTAAACGTCAAAAAATGTTTTTAGAAGATTATGGAAACATTTAGAGATATAAAGGATATCTTGTTTGAAGTTTTTTATATGTGTGTGCAAACTGGTACTCAAATACAATATTGTTAATGTATTTTTAATTTTATTCTACTAAAGGGTCAACATACCAGATTAAAGTGGTACGAGACGGATTGTAGATACTGTTTCACATTGGTTTCCCTTATTATCTTGGTAATTTTCTGTTTGTTCTTAATATATTGTCTTCATCAAGTGTGACATACTTTACAAGGTTATAATGAAACTAATAATGTAGTAGAAGGGTACCATTATAAATTTCAAAGAATGGTTTTGTGGCAGTATGTGAACATTTGGAGGTGTTTAGAAAGTATTCCTAATGAACAAAATATAACAGAACAAATTAATGTCTGACATCCTGTAAATGGAAATCTAACAAGTCAACAGATCATTGGAAATTGGTATCACAGTGCCAAACTTATTTTATTATTTGGGCAACATTTTGATTATATGCACAACAATGTGCAACTGTATCCATGTGTATCACTTGAAGCTGGCATGCTAACATATTTTATAATTAAAAATGCAGTGGCATAACATACAGGCCTGCAATGTGGGTGGACCGAGATCAAAAGAGTGCCTACTTTTAGGCTGAAAGTTATGAGATTGTAAGAAATATTAAATACTTGATACTTCATGATATTTGCTAATAATTACAAACAGCACCTTCTAGAATTATTTTATTCTGCTTCATTAGCTTATGTAACCATGCTTCAAAATCAATGAAAATAAGCAATTCATTTAGGTTTTATAACTCTTATTTATTTTATTTTATTTTATTTTAGATCACTGTGCTACTTCATGGTCGTAAGTGATCAAAATCTGTTTTACAATTTTGCAGCAAAAGGAAATTACATTTTTGCTTACCTTTCATATCATTGTCTTTTAACAATTTAAAACATTCAATATTACAAGCATTACATGTATATAATTGTGACACTGCAAAGTAGAATTTAATATAGAGTGGATATCTGTATCAAGTTAGTAGTTTTTTCCAGAGATCTGTAGTGAAAGGACATTCAACTAGTAAATGGGATGTAAGAAATAATTTCAACACAATTTGGACATGGATGTGGATTTGTCTTTTTAAATAAATAACTGTGACTCAAATTAAAATGGCCAGTTTATTTAATAAATTATTCATTAACTTATTTTTTAAAGTGCCACATTTTCAAAAAATCTTAAATTTATTTATAAAAATAACTTGATGTTTTCTTGTGAACTTGGAGAGGAGAAGAGGAGGATCCAGAATTGAGTTCTGAACTTAATGTAATTTTGAATATTTGGTTTTCCGTTTCAAATCCCATAGTCGTAATGTTGATAATAGAAGTTTTTTAAAGTCTTCAACGGAACCAGAGACAGTTATTTGGAAAAGTAAGTTTAGAAGCCTTTTTTGCTGAGTAGTCAGCATCTTTATTTCCCTTAATTCCTTGGTGGGAAGTGATCATTGTAAGAGTAACATTACAATTATTTTGGGACAGGGATAATACGTTCATGGATTTCTTGAATAAAAGGATTTTTTTTATTGTTTATTTTGAATAGCAGAAATGACTGATAATTAATCTAATGATAACCAAATCTAAAGAAATTTTATTTTGTTAAAAAGAGATCTAATGCTTTAATAATTGCCCAGGCTTCACAGGAGAAAATAGAAAAGTAGTCTAGTAAATGAGTAAAATTAGTAAGTTGAGGGTGATTTGAAATTATAGAACATCGAGTACCACCTTCTTGTTTTGAACCATCTGTGAAAAAAATTATTTATTGATGAATTTATCTTGAAGTGAAGAAAGAGTATGAGAAAATTAGCAGTCGAGAGTAAATCTGCATGGGAAATATTTTTAAAATGTAGATTAATTGAAGGAGTGAACAAAAATCAAGGGGGAACGAAATTTAATGTAATGGAGGATCTGTGGAGAATTCAGAAAGATATTTGAAAATTCTTATACGTAGATACATGGTGATTTTGGAAGAGAAGTAAATTTATTATAACCTTGCTGATTAAAGGATTGTAAGATATATTTGTTAACTTTCTTTATTTTATGCAATTAAATAATAAAAGCAGATTTTTCCACCATCTTTTATTTCAAAAAACCTAGTGATTTCTGTGATACTTTGCTTACAAAACTCAAATACTTGTGATGTAGAAGTAATTTGGTTCATAAATGTTTTTTGTAAATTGGCTTTGGTAACAATCCTTTTCCAATTCCAACAACCAATTCCATCACAAGGAGATTTACCATGGCTAGTAGCAATGATTTTACTTTTTAATCCAATATTAATGAAATTTTTACAGTTCTTGTACTAATCAGTACACTCATCTGAAAAGTATTCCACAACTTTAATATTTGAATCATAAAAGCTCTTCTTTTAAGAAATTTATTATTAATTTTTGAGATTGGTGTACTAAAGGTTCATCATGATCCACGTCATCTGAAATTATGCAAATGCTTTTCAAGTTACGTCTCTCATCTTGTAATATACCACAGCAGCATGAAGTGTGCAGCTCCCAGTGTTCCAGTGATACCCTTTGGCCTTATTTGAAATTACAAAACTGTAGTTTTCACTAAAATCCAACAGTATTACAGCTAATTCATCATTTAAGTTATCTTTCAACATTTTTAAATAGACAATTGAGATTTTGGTATTAATAAATGAGGAATAAATGGCTTCAACTTTTGAATTAGTTAATCACAAAATTCTGAGAAGCTGCATATTTCAGAAACTATATTTACTCATGACTGTTGCATCTTTATACTGAATTGGTTCATCAGGATCAGTCACCTACAAATTTTTGTTGAATATATTCCTTGTGACAAAGATTGCTTGGAAAAATTTCACTTAGTTGTAGCATACAAGCTCTGCCATTAATGTCGCAAGTTACCAATTTAATGAGATCCTGGTATGTTTCATTTATATTGATGCTTTGTAAAAGCAACTCAACATTTTGCTGGATTGTACTTATTCAGACAGCATGTGTGCCTGATGGTCCTGCAAGTACCACATTCTTTAGGTCTAAGGGCAGCAAATTTTGAAAAATCGATCTTGTTTTTGGGAAATGTTTGAATGAAGAATACAACTCTGAGAGATTGTTTATAACGTCATTTCTGTTTACAATAATTTTTACTAATGCTTATTTTGTCCTTCCCAGGCATTATTCTTGAATTTTCATCATCCAAGTAAAAATCAATCACATTCTTTGTTGTTTCTTCTGAGAGCATCTTCCTTTTCATTGCTCAGGCAATGCTAAAATGCCATTCTTATTCACTAGGGTATGTGCCTCATGAACCATGTATTCTGGAACTTCAAAGATTTTACTCACTTTTTCTTTAAGCCGGGATGTTGGGACAAGTGTAACCAATTTCACTTCTTTGTAAAAATTCACATATTTAATTTTCTCTTTATTTTTTTCCATTAACTCATCAAAATGTTATGCGTTGTGTTCTGTTTGATTGTGTTCTGTCTTTGTTTGTAGATTTCTGTCTTTCATGATATGCATTGACACATTTGTATTCCCTAAAAACATGTGGACCTTTATTAAAATCTGAAAACATTCTTTAAACGTTAAATTGTATCAGTTGCAAGATCATGTAATTACACCAGTTGTAACAGTTTGCCCCATGATGTGTACCCAAGTAAAATTTTAGGAATATGAATAGCCTGCAGCTTTCTCTATCCTTCTTGGGTGGGTGATATTCTAAATTGATGATTATATTTTATCATCATTTTTGTTACAGAAATAATTTCATAAGTAATATATACTCTTGCAAGTGCTTGTTATATTATATGCAAAGAATTCTAGCTGATCATACAGGTTTCAGTATCATTTGTGTAAATGTGATTCTAGTACTAATGGATTTATGTAATGAAATCCTTCATGACATGATATGTTGTAGATATTGATTGTAATTTTTTGTGAAGCAAAACAAGCATTGATGTAAGTTTAATTAATATTAGTTAATTTATACTTGCGTTTCATTTGCAGTTGGGTGTGCTCCTCAACACAATGAAGATAGATCTATAGATGTGTCCTGGTCCATAAATGATCTAATGTGTTGGAATGATTATATACTTACAAATGATGAGGTAGGCAATTTATTTTATTTACAAATAGTACAGATCAGGCTCTTGAATTTAAATCTACAAAACCAACATTGTTAGCCAAATTGCATAACTGCGCTGTAGAGTCGCAAAATTTAAGGAATTTGAGACACCACAGATTCCTGGGTGTGTGACCATCTGGGAACCCTGATTACTAACAGATTAATATTCGCTTCAGCTTCCTCCCTTATGTCTTAGAAACTACTGATGTAATACCTTCCTATTTTGCATATTTATATAGTTCCAATGTGATCTTTCTATATCAAAATTATAGTGTGATTATGTCATGTCAAAAACTCACAGTTGTGGTAATGAGATCACGGTGAATTTAGGGCTAGAAAATGAGCAACTTGTTGAACCAATTCTTTCTGTACTGTTGAAAAGGATAGAGCTTATAAAATATTGCAACATTTAAACAAAACAAATGAATCTCAAACTCAATTATATCACAGAACAAGAATATTTAAAATACCACAAAAACTGACTTGCTCAGGGCGTCAGTTGTTGTCACCTTTGATCGGGATGTCCAAAAATTAGAATCCCGCTAGTGATTGGATTTCCAGCACTAGCTTCATAGTTAGGTCAATTTCAGCTTCTGTCTGGTGGAGAATTCTAGTAGCTGGCTGCTCTGATTGGTAGTTTTGTGATTTCTCCATTCCACACCAGGCGATTGTCGGAGCAGTACTGTAAGAAGCGAGCTTCCGACCACATGCAATCTTTCCTTCCTGTCCTCACTCCATATGTCTGCACACTTACGCTTACTTACAAACACCTATGCAATACACTACCACACATGCTTGGGAACTTCTTCTGGATGGAGCAGTGCGCAGCTGATGGGAAGGAGTTGGTTGGGGCCTGGTTGAGGAAAACCCCACGTCAACAGGTTACAACATGCACTACAGTTACTGATGACTTTTTCAGATACCCAGAATCTCTAATCAATCCTGTGGACACAGGATAATTCAAAAGAAATATTATTAGCACACATCAATAAATATCTAGACATCATAACCAAAGAAGATAAAATATATCAAAAAAAAAAATTGTTATTGAAATTGCAAATAATAGAAAGAACCCTGATTTGAAATAAATAAATTGTGGAATAAGACATGTACGCTCACTTTCTCCAACAATTTTTAATTATATTGATGATACCATTCAAAACTGACAAAATAATCTTAAGTCATTTTACTATCCACAACTCTGTCAAAGGCACACTCCTCTTTGCTGATGACCAGATCATTATATCTAATTGTGAAGATAAGCTTCAGTTTGCTGTCCACTTATTGAACCATTTTTGAAGAGTATAATTTGAAGATGTATATTGATAAAACTATCATTATGGCATTCAAAGGAATAGACCATTAATAGCAAAAATAGTGCTTGGCAATGTTATCTTAGAACAAGTTAAGCAATTTCAACTATCTAGATTACACTATCTAATACGAATAATAATGATGTGATAAATAAATGAAATAAATTCAACGGTATATATATGGGAGCATCAAATAAAATCTCAAAGCAGCGGGCAAAGAAACACACATCAAAATTCTGTAAAGAATTGGCTATCCCCTTGCTCCTTTATGGATCTGGGACTCAAAAAATCCAGCCAGCTGAATAGATGCTGCTTAAATGAAATTTCTTAGAAATGACACAACAGCTTTATTTATTTAATTTTTCAAAGTAATTTCCGCCACATTCAATGCACCTTTCCATCCTCTGAAATCAATCCCTAAACCAGCTCTGCCAAGTTTCACTAGGGAGTAAGGCACACTCGTCCCAAGCCCTCAGAAGGCCCTCATTACTGGAAAACCACATTACTTTCAGCTTCATTTTCACATATGGGAACAGTGCAGTCACAAGAAGCGAGGTCTGGACTGTAAGGAGGGTGCTCAAGAAGTTTCAGTCCTGCAGTGGTCAAATATTCCGTGCAGGCTTTGGCGCGGTGAGCTGGAGCGTTGTCGTGATGGAGGAACCAAGTGTCCATTCTTGAATTTGGCCGCAGGTTCTTCAACGATTGAAGGACTTTTGGCAGGCCCTGTTCAGCATACCACTTAGTTGTGACTGCCTTCTGTGTCTCCAAAACAACACTCTCCACATTTCCACTCAATTTGAAAAATACAGCTATCATTTTCTTTTTCCTCATCTTCAAAAATTCAAACTTTGTTTTGAGTCTTGGTAGGCACATCATAATAGTACAGCCAAGTCTCGTCACCTGTCACGATGCTGTTTACATACCGAGATTGACCCTTAGAAAACCTTTTTAGCATCTCCCGGCACCAAGTCACACGTTGTGTAATCTGCTCTTCAGTCAGCGTGTGCCAGAGACAACAAAGTTTCTTCACTTGCAAATGATCATGCATAATCGAACGGATTGCTGGTGCATTAAGGTCTAAGGTATCCTATCTGCATGTAGGTCACTTGTCTGTCTTTGTCAAGCATTTTCCTCACTGCAGCAATGTTTTCCTCTATAACTGATGTTCGTGGCCTGCCCACTCTCTCAGCATCCTCCAAACTGAAATTTTCCCTTTGCAATTCTCTGTACCACCTGAATATTGTTGTCTGATGTGGACAAACATCTCTGAGTGCAAAAGTCATTTCTTCAAAGCACTGGTGTTTAAACCATGTGCGAAGTTATACCCAAAACTGCTCTCACTTCAAGACCATGAAGCTATAGCAAGCACTTGAAACTACCACTGACACTGAAGAACTGAACCCGCAGATGCGGCACAGCGGCTACTGTGCAAGTATGAACATGTCTCAGCACCCTGCGACAAGTAGCCTCCTGTGACTTACGGTTGCGTCATATTGCAAAACCTTCCTAGTACCCTTTGAACATCAGCAACTAAATATCACTAGTATCCTTGATAAAATTGAAAGATAAAGTAAATTGGTTGGAACATCGTGACAGATGAATGAATTGTCACATTCCAAAACAACTTCTTAACAACCGACCACAATGAAGAAGGAATGTGGGACACTGAAGGAAACCCTGGAGATATCAATTTTAAATTCAGCATTAAAATACTTCTGGCTGGTACAAACCGCTTGATTTAATCCCTGAAGTTGATGATGATGGCTGTTGAGCAGTTATACATTTAGATACAATACAACAAGACTAAGTACTCAAGCTTAAATTTGTTTTGAGCATGTCAAAGTAATTTGTACGTAATGTACAATGTCTGCCAATAAGAATAAAAATTTTAACATGTGTATAAATAATAACCAACAACTTTTTCTATAGTATTAATCAAATAGTAAAAGGAATAAAACAAAAAGAAGGAAAGAAACAAGTATTTTATTATGACCTCCTCAATTAAGGAGTATCTGAGAGAGTCAGCACAACAGTTTTTCATCCATGACCTGTAGATGGTTAAAGATTCAACACCAAATCTCCAGCCCAGTGCCACCTTCATTGAAATCATTATGTTTGTTTGTGTTTACATACTTCATATATTAAGTTTTTGGAAAATTTACTTTTTACCTGAGATTTTTGTGTACTTCCCAGTTATAGCCTGTAGATATCTGTAAGTAAATTACCTGATTTTGCTAATATAATATAAAATTTTTATGAATATTATCATTATGTGTTTAATTTGTTCTTTTCATTTTGCCAACTGACTTGAATCACTTTTTCCTTGTGCATCAAAACTGTTAGCTTCATATATCCCTTTCTTGAGACTACGATTAATTGCTAGATGGTATTTTAAATGGTCCTTTTTCTCTTGACCTCTCCTTCTTGCGTGTGTATGATAATTTCAGGTCAAGTAGTTATTGTCAATGAATGAATGTATTTATATTGGTAATGACACAATTTGTTAATCATTTTAATTTTTCTTTTCAGCCTGATGTAGGAAATGTTCTTAGAAAACCTGGTGGTTCTACTAACAAAAAATGTGGTCCACAGATAAGTTTGGTATGTATGTTGTACACTGTTGAATTCTGCAATGAAATTAACAGCAAATTTATATTTAGTTAAATAAATATATAAAAAAAATAAAATAAAAAATAAAAAAATCAGCTAAAACATATTGTATCTAATTTTTGCGAGAACAGTAACTAAGATGCTCATAATTTTATATGTTGTGGTTATTGCTGTTATTCAAGGATCTAAAGCTGTAATTTAATTATATACCTCATGTAACTCATAAAATGAGAATTTAGCTTCTTACCAGATTAGAAATTGGGTAGTTTTGAGTTCCTATTTGTCCTTTGTACATTTCTATTTACACCGTTCTACCAAACCGAACCTGGCTGTATTTCAGTTGATGCTTTGCAGAACATTTTTGTCAGCAAGGAAGTTCTAGCTTTTGCCCTTCACAATTTATATAAATCAACCTTGAGTCTATGAAATGCATTTTTATACCAAAATACTTCTCGTAAACACACAAGTCACCTCACACTTAGTCTCTGTGGCTGAAACCAACATTAGACAGATGAAGTCAGCAATAATTCTTTCATCATTAATCATAAAACTTGTTGTGGCTAATGAGCTTTTTATCCAGGTACTCCTAACTTTAGCTGTAGTGTGGTCTCCAATGAGAACTAATATTCCAATAGGTACTACTAGAAATTCCCCTTTCATCCAGGCGTCTTATATTCATAGGTGGGAACTTGACTCAATGCTGCACTTCATTTCCAGCTGCACATAGAAGGTATTAAGGGACTCCTTTTACTGACTCCAGATGTGACTTGCGCTAATGCGTCAAGAAAGGCAGCATTTATGAAGAAAGAAATCCAAGTGTAACAAGGATATTCTTCTGCTCTTTAAGAGAGCAACATGAAATTTGAGTAAACTTAGCACATTATTGTGGGATAAGATTTGACTCGAATTGATTGATACATTACAAACAAACATAATTCATACAAAGTACATCTACAGTTCTACCTGAAAGATTTGATTTCAATAAGAACAAATTTATTCCTCCATTTAGTCTTTATTTGAAACATGACTCAAAATTTTATATTTCATTTTAACATAATTGTGAAAAATTTGAATGTCAGACATTCAACTATTCTATATTCATACGTTGTAAACAAAAATCCTTTTGTTATAGGATCGGATTCCTTCCGAGGTTCTCTCAGAGACTCCTAAACCTCTAGATGAGTACCAAAGCAAGAAGGCAAATAAACGAGCAGCAAGCAGTGAAAACACCATTTCCACAAACAATACATCAGTTCCTACTCCACAGATAGATGAGAACCGTCCCAAAAATCCAAAGGTGAGAATGATACATTCAAATGTTGTGATATATTCTGTACAAATCTGAATGATATATTCAAATGTTTTGTTTTGGAAAGTATGCTCACTTTGAAGAGGTTTTAATTTAAGTTGTCTTTAAGATTGAACATTTTACTCTTTTTCTTCACATCTTGTCTCTCCCTCTGTCTCTGCTCTCTCTCTCTCTCGCTCTGGCTCACGTCCTCTGCTTCTCTGCGCCTGGCTCTCTGTCTCTTGCACTCCTCTGCTCTGGCTTCTCTCTGCTCCGTCTGCTCGCGTCTCCTCTCCTCTCCTCTCTCAGGCTCTGTCTCTCCTCTGCCGGCTCGTCGCTCGGTCCTGCTCCTCTGCGCTCTCTCGCTTTCTCCTCTCTCCTCGTCTCGCTTCGTCGCTCTTGCTCTCCTCTCGTCGCTCTCGCTCTCGCTCTTGGCCTCTCTGCGCTCTCCTTGGTCCGTGCTGCCTTCTCTCGCTCTCCTCTCTCTCTCTGCCATCGTCCTCTCTCGCTCGTCCTGCTCGCTTCTCTCGCCTGCTTTCCCTCCTCTCGTGCGCTGCTCCTTCTTCCTGCTCCTCTCTCGCTGCTGCCTTCCTCGTCTGCGCTGCTCCTCTCCTCTCTCGCTCTCCTCTCCTGTCTCGCTCTCCTGCTCGCCGTGCTCTCGCTCTCCTTCTCCTCTCGTGCGGCTGCTCCTGCTCCTCTCGGCCGCGTCTCCGCCTCTCCTTCTCGTCATCCTGCTCTTCTCCTCTGCTCGCTCTCCTCTCCTCTCTCCGTCTCCGCTCCTCTGCCCTCTCGTCTCTCTCCTCTCTCGCTCTCCGTCTCCCTGCTTCGCTCTCCCTCTCTCTTCCTCTTCTCTGCTTCTCCTCTCCTCTCCCTCGCCTTCTGCTCTCTCTCCCTCTCTTCCGGCTCCTCTCCTGCTCCTGCTCTCGCTCTCTCATCTCCTCTCCTGCGCTCTCTCTTCTCCTCTCTCGTTCTCCTCTCCTCCCGTTCTCGTCTCTCTCCTCTCCTCTCTCGTCTCTCTCCCTCTCGCTCTCCTCTCCCTCTGCACTCCTCTCCTCTCTCGCTCTCCCTCTCCTCTCTCGCTCTCCCTCTCCTCTCTCGCTCTCCTCTCCTCTCTCTCGCTCTCCTCTCCTCTCCTCGCCTCTCTCGCTCTTCTCGCCTCTCCTCTCGCTCTCCTCCTCTCCTCTCCTCTCTCGCTCTCCTCTCCTCTCTCGCTCTCCTCTCCGTCTTCTCGCCTCTCCTCTCCTCTCTCGCTTCTCCTCTCCTCTCTGCAGCTTCTCCCTCTCGCTCTCCATCTGCCTCTCTCGCTCTCCTCTCATCGCTCTCGCCTTGCTTCCTCTCTCGCTCTCCTCTCGCTCCTCTCCTCTCCTCCTCTCCTCTCCTCTCGCTCTCCTTCTCCTTCCTCTCCTCGCTCTCCTTCTCCTCTCTCGCCTTCCTCTCTTCTCTCCTACCTCGTCCTGACTCTCTCTCCTCTCCCTCTCTCGCTCTCCTCTCTCTCTCGCGCTCTCCTACTCTCTCGTCTGCTCTCCTCTTCTCTCTCCTCGCTCTCCTCTTCTGCCTCCTCGCTCTCTCTCTTCTGCGTCTCTGCCTCCCTCTCTCTCTACGTTCGTCTCGTCTGCTGCTCTCGGCTCTCTCTTCTCTTTCCTCCTCTCTTCTCTCTTCTCCTTCGCTCTCCTCTTCTCTCTCTGCCTCGGCTCTCTCTTCTTCCTTCCTCGCGCTCTCTCTTTCTCTCTCTCCTCGCTCTCTCCTCTCTTCTCTCTCCTCTCTCTATTTTCTCTTTCCTCTCTCCTCTCTCTTCTCTTTGTATGTATGTGTATTGTACTAACTTGATTTTGGTGTTAATCGAGTTGGTATATTTATTCAATTTTCTTTTGGCTGCCTTTTCCAAAATAAATCTTCGTTTTTATCATTGTAACGCCAAAACATCTTTTGTTATGTTCTAGTCTTTTCTGCCCCTATTTATAAAGTTGTCTGTATACCCTACAAATTCCAAAATTATATAATTTTTAATTTCTTCCTTTTTTCTTTCAGAAAGGAATACATTCTGTCTATACAGTACCTGTAGATGGGCTGTATGTTTTGGATGTTAGAATTGTGGGTGAGAATATGAATGTGACAATGGAAGTCAAGATGGTCGGACATCATGGTTATTTGTCTGCTGTGGATTGGCCACTTCTTCCAGTGAGTGTGAAAGTGAAGATTTTTTAATTCGTATATTTTTCCTCTTGTTTTTATTGTTTTATTAGGAGGATGAAAGTTTTTTGTTTTTTTTCACACCAACAAGAAAAGTGAGAATGTCGCAAGTTCAGGGAATAAACAAATGGAATCCATGGTCCATAGCACTTACTGTTTCTAAAGAGAAGATAATTAGTCAGCGAAGTCCAAAAGTTCTTGCAAGCAAGATATTGTATGTGAAGATCCATTGTAATGTTATTCAGTACATTTAGTTATATCATTTTAAAAAGTGTAAAGAATAGAAATTGATGAAGTTTTGAGAAAATGCTAGTTTTTAAAATTACTTGTATTTCACTTGTAACATATAATAGATAATTAGAGACGGAACAACACAATTTTTCAATTGTATGGCTTGGAAACTCAGGTTACCTATGCCAAGATTAACTCATAATTACTTACAAATATCAAATGTTCTAGGGATTAGCTCCCTACAATCACATAGAAAACATATAGATTATGTATTTTTATAAAAAAGAGTAGTTTGAAATGAATTGACTATGGACTTTGTATCCAAACTATTATGGATAGTACCTTGTATTAAAATTATAATTAGTAAGCGAACATTTTTCATTCCTAATGTTAAATCCAATTTGGGAGTGATGCTCCCTTGAGACTAATCATTGTCTTGGCCAACAGTCTAGGTAGAACCAAAAGTTTTTTTACTTTGTGGTTACCAGTGAAAGAAAATTATTATATTATGTGTATGCGTGTTAACACAATTTTCTTTTATAACTTCTTTTAATGTAAATTATGTGTATTAATTGTGCAGTTGCCTGATTAATAAATGTATTATTATTAATTATTATTATTAAAGAAAGTGGATATTGTAATTGTGCCATCTTCGTAAAGATATTTCATTATTGTAATAAGAAGCTTTAAGAAAATTTGAGCCAATTTTGAAAACTTTTCAGTGGCCTCATGTCAGATTGATCGTGGAATATTAATTTTTTTTAAAATGCTGCATTGTGTAACTTTCTTTATACCATGTAGGCCTTTATTACTCTATATTCACAGATGTATATCACAAAATTAAAAATTAATCTTATATTTGGACACAAAATCGACAAAGAATGGAACTGAATCCCACAAAATGTGATCTTTGCTCTATTTTAAATTTTTGTCAAAAAGCAGTTCCATGGATCCACGCATCAACTTGTCTGTACCCAATTTATAACTTTGTGCTAACCATGTAAATGGACAATATTTACTGTAGCAACTGTTGCATTTGGGGCAAGGGTCTCTTCACGGTGCCAAAACTATTACTCTTAAAATTACATGTCAGAACTCATAATTGAATTCCTCTTTTTATGACATTGCATTTCTTGCATTCCTCTTTTCATTGCAATATTCTCTACTGCATATTACTTGCCCCACAATTCCACATTGCTGTGAGGACACTGCACTTTGATATCATGGATCGTTTAGAAGTTATGTAAGTGGCCCATTGTTGGGGGGACACTATATGCATGTTATCTTCTTAAATATGATGTTGTGTAACTTTTGATTAAAATTAATATTAATTTTGGTTGAATAACTGGGAGGCATATCAAAATATTTTTACTTTTGCAGTTTTATGGAGCTATGTGCGTAGTTTATGTGATTTTTGGATTGGTGTGGTTGGCAGTATCTTTCTGTCAGTGGCGTGATTTGCTGCGGGTTCAGTTCTGGATTGGTGCAGTAATCCTTCTTGGAATGCTTGAAAAGGTATACATTAATATTTCTATATTCTTTTTGGCTTTTCATTTTCGGCATAAAATAAACTGATTTTTCTCAAATTAAATTTTAACTGGTAAGTAATTGGTGAATTTGTGTTCAATAAAACAAGTATTAACAGGGGTTTTGGATCAAAATGTTTCTAATAGGTGTCAGTGCCTCAAGTTAGTAGAGATTAGTATTTTTTGTTGAATTCACAATGTTTGCTGCTATTAGAGAATTTGAATTTAAATAGCAATGAACAGTATTTTAATTTTTTGTTAATGTTGATCACGTGTTTGTGCGTGTGTGTGTGCGTGCGTGCGCGCACGTGCGTGTGTGCACGCGCACGTGCGGGTGTGTGCGGGCGCGCGCACGTGCGGGTGTGTGTGCGCGCGCGCACGTGCGTGTGTGCTCGTGCGTGTGTTGTTTTCCTTATTGGAATACTTGAATCAATTAGTTATATAACATATCAGTTCTTGCTGTCTTTAAAATTAATTTTAATTATTATTGCACTAAAATTATTTTTCTGTTAGTGGTAATGATTTCAGATGTCTATTTTTTAATATTCCTTTACATTAATAGAAATGTCTTTATCTTAACTGTTCTTTGCTTGTAAATGTTTTTTGATGAATTTCATTTATATATGGCTAATACTGCAAATGAGTTTTTTATAATGCTTTTTGGGTTCATGCAGTGGAGGCTCAAAGGCAAGATTGGGCAGAAGTTCTAACACTTAAATAATAATTACTTCTAATGTTTGTTACACACATAATCATATTCTTTTTCATTGTTTAATACTTATATAATATTTAATTGCCATTAGTTCAACTTAAAGCAAAGCAAAAATATGGTTTTAATACTGTCGAAAACTAAATTGTGTGTGCCGAACATACTTTTGAGAATCAGAAACATTACTAGACTTCTTGTGGCAGAAATAGTATATGTCTGCACGGCATTCTGCATAAGCAGCAGTCTGATGCACAGGATGCATAGCTCTGAGGCATTCTGGCCTCTACATGAAGTGTAAAACACTGCCGCCACCCAGTATAAGAAAGGGTTGTGTGACAATGCAACAGTCCTCTGATATTGCATAGAATGCCAAGCTAGGTGTGACAATTGAAGATCTTAAATTAGGGTGCTGTAACTTCACTATCCATTTCAGAATGTGGAGATATGGTACATTAGTTTTTGGTCGCTAAGACTCGGATGTCAGGGTGCTTGAATTTTTCACATTAAGTGGTAATTTATTCAGTGGCATGTCAGTCATTTATTCAGTGGTGTGTGGGTGTCAGCCACCTGGGGTGGAGGACAATTTCACTGCCTCCTTATTTTGGTGTTTCAATTTAAAGGACTAAAATATATAAGCTTGAACAATGTAGCAGATAGTCAAAAATACAATTACATAAATAGGAGTTAATAAAATATTTAGTACATAGTCAAGTGTATACATACCCGAGCAATACATGTTCAAAATAGCACAATAACTTATCAATCACTACATGTACTTATGAGCACTAAATTCATAGTTTAGAAAGCACATTCATATATATGATTAAGTTAATGTGAATTTGATGACTGATGATCCATCAATTAAACTTTCTTTGAATTGTCTATGCATCTTCCCTGACATGACTTATCCATACTGTAATCTAATTTCCTGGTTTTATTATTCAATATCGAATACTATTCTTTATATGATAGAAGTCATACTTTCTGAATATCAGTCATAAACAATCCAAGCACAAAATAAAATATGAGGAGTCCCTTCAGGTCAGTACAGATGGTGTTGCCAATCACTACAATGGGCAAGATGTCATTATTATACATTCATTTAAAGAAGTCACTCATTAAATACTGAAAGATTCTGTGCTCATTTTCATCAGTCCTAATCATAGGTGCAACAAAAATATGAAATGAAGTGATTCAATTTTTACAAGATATTGTTATTGTTATTTATTGTAAAATATTGCTGCCCCCTAAAAGTGCCGCTTGGGGGTTGGCCGCCCTAGCTGCCCCTACTATGCTACGCCACCGCATTTATTGTTAAAGTACTATTTCACTCCCATCTCCTCTGGAGCCACCACTACATTTGTGTTGAGAACGTTTGAAGGTATAAAACTAATAATAAGAGATTACTAAGAGGACACTCAGTTTATCAAAAAGAATATTGAAAACAACATATAATTTACATTACATTGTTTAAATTTACAACATATTTAGAGTTGGGTAAAATAACATATTTTTTTCAAACTCTGCAGGCTACGTTTTATGCTGAGTATCAGAGTTTAAATTCTACTGGCAAATCAGTCCGTGCAGCAGTACTTCTTGCTGAATTGGTTTCCTGTGCCAAACGTACACTTGCAAGAATGCTGGTGATAATAGTAAGCCTTGGATTTGGCATAGTCAAGTAAGTAACAAATCATCGTATGTATTGTTCTTTCAATATGGAGCTAATGTAATAAATATTTGTAGCGGTCCCGTCGTGATGTTTATATTGTACATGTAGTACTGGATTTGGTACTTCTCCATTAAGGTCAATTTGGCAGCTGTTGAAATTAAAGGGAACAGTTTCAAAACCCACTGTATCAAGTTTTAAAAATGAAAATGAGTTTTTTACTAGTTTGTGTAGTGTGTTACATAGCTTCTATAAGAAATGGAAAATATCATTAACTTGCTTTATTCTTCGGTAACCATAATGCAAGTACATTCTGCTGTTCCAAAACCCACCTTTCGTCACATGCTGTTGGCATGAGCTGTCCAGAACAAAAGATACTTTGCTAGCACAGATATTTAGTGTAGGGAGATTGATTGTTATGTGATGCAACAAAGATAATTGTTTGGCATATTTACGCACATTCAATATCTAATTACTAGCGTGTGTATATTTGTAAGGATTGAGGAATATAAGCTTAATAAAATTTTGAAATTTACATGCCAATCTATTATATAACTAGTGGTACTACAAAATGGCACAGACATTCTTGTACTAGTTTGTTTTCTAATTTTTTTAGTCCAGGCTAGCTTTTCGAACTTACAAACTCTAACATGCAGCCATCTACCGCCGCCCAAGAACATTTTTTTGAAATTTTCTCAATTTTTCGATATCCTAATGGTAGAAGTGAAATATTACTTTAAGAATATTATAGGAGAGTAAAACCTTGTCATATAAGGAATTTTTCATTGAAAACATTGGAGCCATTAAGAAAATTGTCTTTCAAGGTTTACTCTGAATAAGATAATTGAAGTTATTTTTCAAAGACATTTTTTGAGTTTTCGTAAAACTGTATTGGAAGTCATTTAAAGCACATCCACTCACAAATGCAATAATGTGTACGTGTTGAAAAAACAAAAGAATACAGTGAAATGGCTTTTATGTTGTCTTAAACAGTGCACTTTGCACTGTCCCTAAGAAAAGTTCGAAGAAAAAATGTGAAGCCGTTTTTGAGAAAATGGCATTTAAACATTTCTGACAATGCAGATTTTTGAGCTCATTTTCGTAGAAAACATTTGAGATTTTGAGAAACTTGATAAGGCATCATTCAAAGCACATGCATTCGTAAATAATCCAAACTAACTACCAATAAAGTAAATAATAATGATGTGAAAGGCAAGTAAAAAAATACTTTTTCAATTTTTGAAAAAACAAAAAAAGTAGAGCTATATGACATTTATGTCATTTTATAGTGTGTATTTAGCAATATCCCTACCAAAATTGTGAAGAAAAAATTTCAGAGCCATTTTGAAGAAAGTGAACCGAGAGATGAAGACTTTCTCAAAGATACTCAAATTTACAATGACATGAAAAGTGGTAGAGGAAAGTTAATAAAAACATTAAAAAATACAATCATGATAAGTAATGTCATAATCAAATAAGAGACCAAGACTTGGACTTCAGAATATCTGCTGATGAATGTTGAGTGAACAGAGAAGGAGAAGTCTCCTACTTACAAATATAAATAGGAGCTAAACAGCTGATGACCTCAGCTAGTTGAGATTTTGAACAAGGGGTTACAGCAGTAATCCCAGAGGTAGGTTACTATTGTTTATTTAATTTATCATTAATGTGTCAATAATCTATGTTTTTCTACTTGTTTCTTTGCAGGCCACGCTTGGGCCCTACCCTACATCGAGTTATATTGACAGGGACATTATATATGCTGCTGGCAGCAGTGGAGAGTTATTTACGTGTTGGTCAAGTGAAAGATGACTCAGCTGGTCGTCAGCTTCTTCTAGCAAGTGTACCTCTAGCTGTGTTGGATAGTGCTATTTGTTGGTGGATATTTTCTAGTTTAGCGCAAACAACAAGAACACTCAGATTAAGACGGTGAGCATTTATGTTTGGTCTCTTCTTGGTGTGCATGCAACTTCTTCTGTACTGTGTTTCTGCATTTTTAATATTAGGAGAACTTTGTTTCTCTCAGAATGTACACTGTTATGAAATCCCTATTTAATCAGTTTCATCATTGCTGTAAACACTTGTGTTAATATTCAAATTATTGTTTAGATTCTTATTATTCCATTCACTATGTTAATTGTCTTATTTGTCTGTTCATTGTCCTATTTTAAATTTTTTGTCTTGTGATTTTTTTTTCTATACCCTATACCATGACAAAATATATTTCTTAATTCCCTAATAATTCATTACTTCTAGAACTGTGAAACTTGTTTTACTGTGTCATTTCTTTGTATACATTGTACCGAAAAAGTAAGTATTATATTTGTGTGGAAAATTATACTCAAGGTTTTGATGGAAATACCTTTTATTGGAGAAATGAAGTACTCCTTGCTACTTGTTTCTCAGAAGAAACTCTCCTGTTAACTTGTCCTTGTTTGAGGTGATTGGTTCCCAGATGGCACTCAGGCTTCCAGTTTCTAAAATTGACATTAGCTCATGCATCAGTTACGAATCAACAAACAGAATTTCCACCTCTTATCAAAATGGGTCTGAATGCATCCTTTTAAACTTATCACATGGTTTTATATGTTTTTCAGGAATCTGGTAAAGCTATCTCTGTACCGACATTTCACCAATACACTTATTTTTGCTGTTGTTTCTTCTTTGGTGTTCATGCTATATTCAATCAGATACCATCGATTAGCTTCTTGTTTAACAGTAAGTATTTTTTTGACTCAAACTGTGTCTTGTAATGTCTTGGCATGTCCTTCAAGTCTTTCAATTAGAACTCCAAACTATCAATAATGTTTTACATGTACATTCTGTTCAGGATTTCATTTTAATGTAAAACCTGCTGAAAATAAAACTGGCTTGTGTGATAATTTTTTCCATTTACACAGAGTTGCTTACTTTGACTAGGAATTTTAATTATTCTATTGCTGAAAAACAGCATTCTTAAACCTTTTGTTCTGTTGAACCTGTCAATTAGTGTGAATCATCAAGACTTTCCTGAAGATCTATAGTGATGTGCATGAAGCTAATGCATGGTGTTCCATTCAGTTGTCAAACCGTTCTGTGGGTACAACAACTCTTTAGTTTCCCAGATCCCTGATACTATAACATTACTTCCTACCTGTAATTTGCCAACACCCAACACTCACCCTGCTGGACACTTAGATTGACATGTAATTTCACTATTTGGCACAAAACCCTGCAAAACCTGTATGTTCAAATTTTAAAGTGCTGTTGAATAATATAAATAGTTTTGGAGACATTTTGAATAAGGTCCCTTCATGACTTTTGTGCATTTCATGGCTGAACTGTCACATAGGCAGCTCTAGGAACATTACAAGACTTCTATCAACTGATGACTGAATTTGTAGTGTGCTTGTTTGTTCGAGACAAAGTGTGAAGATATATCTGATGGTTCCTTTCTTTTTGGAAGTGCACAGTGACACACCTACTGAATACTGTCAAGATATGTATTTTATCTTCTGTGTTGATCTGGAATATATCTTAATTAGAAATTTTTGAGTTAAGCTTATGAGAAAGCTTTTTAGTTTTGTGATTTGAAAGAATTAGCATTGATTGAAGGGAAATCAGAGCCATGTCATTTACAATGGGCAGAATTACAGTCCAGAAATTTATTCAAAATTGGTGACGATTATATGGTATGTTTCGACAATTCCATTTCAAAATGGTAATGTGGGAAGAATGTTGGTAGATAGCAGAATGTTGGGCTGTACAGCAAAAGTAATTTTGATCATAAAATATAATCTTGTGTGTGTGTGTGTTTGCGCGCACACACATTTGTCAAATTACAAATTACTTTATCGAAGATCAAACATTTGTGCTTTCTTTGATATTCTGCCATGAACAAAAAAGGTTTCAAAATTTTTTCCCTCCTATCAATACGAATCACATCATGAAACCAAACGTCTCATACATCACTTGCTTTCGTTAAGTGTCGCCACAAGTATGAAATTATCTGCTCATAAGTACTGAACAATTCTGGCTAAATGCTTCGGATTGCAAATGTGTTTTGTTCATTCATCAAAGAATGGGTTCAATTTTGCAAATTTCACTTTTTTACTTAGGGTGCTATTGATTGAAATGTGTAGATATTGTTTTATTTATTAAAACTTCTTTCAAAACATTATTTCTTTCACAATTGGTATCCTCGAAAAACCACACAAATGGTTTCGTGTAGGTAGGGACAAACATGCCATGCCTTGCTTTAATGCTGAAAAAACTAGAGAGATTGTCGTAAGGCATATCCGTCAACAGAACCATCCAAAGATAGCATATTCTACCTAATATTACATCTCTTTCTAAATACGAAGCTGCTATGAACAGTTTGTAATGCCGCTGTAATGGAATTTGGCCCTTCCCTAATCTGCTGGGAAACTCCCAATGTTGCGTAAACACAACACAATGTTTATTTGACTATAAAATTGTTTTAAATATCACGTTATATTAAAAAATTAAACACTTTTATTTTAAACGTTATATTTGTAGTGTGTAAACAAAAATTCATATTGATCTCCAATTCTAAAATCAAAAGTCAGATATTGTAGAGACAACAAAATAAGGCATGTGCCTTGATCAAGAAAAAAATTAAAATGTGTATTCATGTAATATATATTTATCAAACAAAAATAGTTTTAAAGTTATTTAGTGTTGTATTTACTTACATAAAATTACAAAGGCTTTCAACAAATGGTATGGGGGAAATCAAATAGTAAATATTGTGTTGCGTTTATGCAACGTTGGGAAAAAATGGGTTAATGGGTGGTTTATTGATAAATATTTTTTATATTTGGTCTAGTGGGGCCAAAATACTAGTGGGAAAATGATTCCAGTTTGTATAATTGACTAAACTGATATTTCTATCAACAGCAATATTAACATTAAATATAATAATAAAATAATGAAGATATCTTCGAGTTAATAGTGTGAAACTGAATGTTCTAGGATTGGAAAGCATTATGGCTTGATGATGCCTATTGGCATTTGTTGTTTTCTCTGCTTTTGCTGGTAATTATGATATTGTGGAGACCTGGAAATAACAATCAACGCTATGCCTTCTCACCTCTGCTAGATGCACCAGAGGATGAGGATGAAGACGAAGATGATGAACAATTTGTTAATGATGCATTTGGTAAGGATTTAGAAGTAATGTTTTCCAATAGTTAAATTTTCATAGTTAACATTTATTTTTGATGAACACTTAAGGATTTACTTATTCGCATTTTCAATTCATACTTGTCACTTCAGTGTTTGCTTAAGCATTCACTTGGTCTTATAAGTGACATTATCTGTACCCGTAAGTGGACCCTTAATTTTCAACGTATGTTACAACTTTTCAAAGTTTTTAAGATGAAAAATTTTTGAGTTTTTGGAATTATTGAAGTCAATATGGAAGTTTGCATACCAAAACGATATTTAAGGGATATGGAAAATCCTTTAGAAGGCAGATGCAACAAGAATTTTAGAAGAGATATATATTTTTGTAAAGGATGCAGTTGTAAACATTAGTGTCTCGGTTGCTCACTCACTACGTGGACTTGAGGAATAGATGATAACCATTACCACCAGTTCTAACACCGCTAGTGGCACACAGATTTTATGTAACATCATTTCAGTTACGTAATTTATTTATTTAAATTGCAGACCACCAGGGCATATTTTGTAGGTTAACCAGTGAGGAAGATAGGTTGTCTTACAATGATAATCACAATGCGTCATAAGAAAAAATGTTTTTTTAAAATTATTTTTAGTTGATATGTGCAGATCTCAAAAGAATGAGTCAGCCCTCAGCTTGAAGAATCAATTCATAAATGTCTGAAGTGGTATCAAGAAATATTAAAATGTTTCCCCTTAATGTCCTTCCTTTCATAAAAAAATTCTCTTCAGGTGTTGTACCAATTTCGTACGCTAATAACTTATTTACTAATCATGCTTATTGTAAAAATTCTACCAGTAGCAATTATCCGCACGGGACTTAACGCATTGAAGCAACAAAACAAAATTTATAATTTCTTTTCTGTTGATAGTCTGTCGATGAAAACAGATGCTATTCACAAACTTAAAAGAACCACCAAAATTGTAAACAAGATTGTCACGGCCTTCTAGATTCGTATCCAGAACCAATGAAGGAATGTTGCCAAATATTATGTAGTGAAATATTGCCTGAGTGGGACTCTCGAATAAGTGGGATCTATGAATACAAAACTGTCATAAGGGTTTTCTAATTTCAAGTAATTGCTTATTACTTAAGGGTTTACTTATCATATAAGTGTCGACTATGAATATGGCGTGTAGTATATTAGCCAGAATTCACATTTTGGTGTCCCTTTATACTGAAAATTGGTGCTGATTCGCCAAACCATATATGCATCTGCGTGCTTGCCCAGCTGTGATTGACACTAATGCCGTAAAAATACTCAGAATTTTCTCAAAAATGGATATTCCCCAATCAATATGGCTGCTGCCATAGCCTCTTGAATTTGAAACGTGTTTAATTTATTCGGAGGTGTACTTTACATGAAGCTATATTTACATTTTCGGTATTTTTACAAAAATGGCTCCAAATTTGATTGTTCAAATTTTTGACTCAAACTTAGCAATTTAGGAATATAAAATGGTTTGATTTCATTGAAGCCTCCTCATTTTCAACGATTCCTAGGATTAAACATTATATTCAAAAGAGCTTTATTTCGATACAACTGTTAGACTCCTACGCATTTTAGGAAGCATTTTTTTTTATTACAATGTAGAGTGTTAGTATTATTACAAAAGTAAACTGTAATTGATTCAAACTGTCTCTACACTATTGTGTTTTACTACATTTGTTGTACGTTTGTAAAATTTATATACGTATGTGGGAGCTTTGAGGCATTGTTACCACAGCAAGATATAATATTGAAAATTATTCAGATAATAGAATTCATATTATTACTGACAAGAAATCGTACATCAGATGGAAGGTTGCCCCAAATTGAAGTGAAACATTGTGTTGGAAAAAGATTTAAAGATTTTGAACCAGTAGCAAAAATAGTAAGTATTAAAGAAAGTAATGAATGCATTTTTACAGTGTTCAGTATCCTGCCTGATGGCTGAGGTCACTAAGGCAAGAGTGTCAGTCTCATGTTCCACTTATGCATGCTTGTAGTTTTCTGTGTAGGGCCGATTGGTTGGTGCTTTTCTAAACCATGTACCATCTAATACAAGAATCTTTCCTTCCCGTCCCTTGTTGGTAATTAGCAGGGTGATTTGGTCTGTCTGCAAACAGGAAAAGTAATGCGCTGTCAATGGGTCTGCGGATCATGAGATTCACACCACCTGTTCATCACCATTCCTCCCCAACACTTATTCAGTTTCAAGTTCTGCTACGGGCCCTTGGGTCATAGGTGGATCTGTGTGTACCTAGCTGCTAGGAGTTTATTGATCTCAGTGTTATGAAGGCGTGAGCCTGATGTTTGTGTATCAGATGAGAATATTATGTGCAGTACAACTATTATTTTTATCACTTGAACTGGGCATATTTTTTACTTGTGGTAATCTTCCAAAGGGGAAGCAGTATGAAGTTTGCTCTCTTTGAGATATCTTTTTTGATACATGAGGAAGGAGGAGGGTGGGGTAGGGGAAGATATTTTTTTTAGCAATTCCTTAAAATCAGATCAGTAGTTAATTTGCCAAAGCAAATGGTTTTCTGAGCAAGTAAACATTTCGAGCTTTAAAACATTGCCAACCATTTGCGTGCGGCGGTGGTATAACGGTTAGCGAATCAGACGGTTATACCCAAGTTGGGAGGTTCAAACTCGATCGAAGCCGTGGATTTTTAAGGGCGAAAAAATCCTTAGTGCACTGTCCTTCGGAGGGGAAGTAAAGCCGGCTGTCCCATGTTAGTAGATTTACTTGCATCCTCAAGCCTAAATGACGCCTCTTGATGTAAATTCAAAAATCGCCTTTTTCTCACCCAAGAAATACCTCCTTTCTCTGCTAGTTGGTGAAAGGAGTGTAGTGAAATTTGCGCGGTCAGACGGTTGAGCAGGCCTCATGGCCTGAGTCTCACCATGTAAAATAAGGCATTAATTCAATTCGATTCAATTCAACCATGCTTGTTGGTACCTCAGTTTGTAATTAAACTAGGAGTAGTAAAAGAGAGGGTAGAAATTCTGCAGGAAACTTGTGCAGATTTTCCATGTATCACACAAAGTTGTCATATAATGGTATGCATTTCATAATAAGTAAAGCTAAAAAATTTTAATAAATAAAAAAAGTACGAAGAGTACTAGATTAGTAAAGATTTATAGATAGAAGAAAAAATAAAACAAGGAAAAGGTACAGAAATTGTGATGTACAGGGGACAAGTACAGTATAAGTTGGTATTAAAATAAATTCCATCTAATTATTATTATTATTATCATTATTATTGTTGTTGTTGTTGTTATTTTACCCAATCATTATAAACTATTCAAGTATATTAGTACTACATTGTATTACTCCTAGTTTATGTATGTGTTAAAATAATAAATTTTTAATGAATTTTTTTTTAGGAGTAAAAATGCGAGGTTCGAACCGCAGTAATTCTCCCAAGCCCCCCAAATCAACGAATACAGCAGTAAGTATTCAGGTTTAATTTTATAAAGATCTTGTTAAAAATGTTCCTTTTGAAACATTTTTTCTATTTTAAAAGGTTTCTCATCATAAGTTGTACCAAAGTTGTCCCATTTTCTGAATGTAAGCCACTCAGCAATACCAAAATATCCATTGGTCAGTGAAAATCTAAATTATGTATGTATTTAAGGAAGTACAACACTACAATAGTAGGTACATAAGTACACACAATAGGATGACCTGGAGACATCAGATATAAAGGCAGGAACAAGATTCAAATGGATATATGTGAGAAACTAGCAATAAGCACAGAAATAGAAGAGTAAAGATTAAATTGGAGAAAAATGGGAGCATCATAAAGGAAAAGCTAAAAATTCTAGGTAACAATTGGATACACCTACTATATCGAAAATAGGAAAAGTAAATATCTGTTCATTCCTTTAAAAATGCATAATGAAGACAAGAGGTATCAAATTATTCTCCAAATGAAATTAACAATAATGATAAGTCTCAACAAGCAAATGGAGATAATAAATTAGGGTTAAAAGTTACCAAAGAAGACAAAAAGAAAGAACAAAGAACAGGAATGTAAGAGGATAGAATTACAAGGAATAAGAACTCAGATAGAAATGAAGACAGGCATACTAAAATTGTAGTGATAACAGAAATAAAAAAGGAAAAGTTTACAATGATATACACAGGAGTTGTGGCATATTAATTGAAAACTAAGTAAAAAGCAGTGTACTAGAATATGATTGGATCTCTGAGAGAATAATAATAATAGTAATGGAGGTGGATGCAGAAAATAATTCTAAGATTGTACACATCAGCAGGGGACAGCACCAAAACAGAGTTCTAAAAAGAACTGAAAGAATGTCCAGACAAAATGAATCAGAGAAATATGTTTATGCTAGCTGGAGATTTTAATTCAAGAGTGGGAAGTTCAGAAATAAAACATTCATAGCTGTTAAGGAAAGTAATAGTTCAGGTAAAAATAATGAAAAATAATCATGATATTATAAACGCTTGTAACAAAACTAAAGCAATGTGGAATATTGTAACAAATACGACCACATCATCTTGTTACTTAGTAGAGAATGTTGTTTCAAAGGATAATGAAGCAGAAGCCAGTAATCAGGAAAAAGTGGCAAATCTCTTCAACCAACACTTTTCTAAAATTGCTGCTGAACTCTCGAAGGGAATAAAACCTTCCAATTCAACATCATTACTTTCCAGAAAAAAATTTCAACACTATTTTTATTTCTGAAACTACTTCTAACGAAATCTTATGAATAGTCAGTAAAGTAAAAAATAAATATTCATCTGGTATAGATGAATTTCCAGATTGTTTATTGAAAACTTGTGTACCTGCCTATATACACCCGTGAACTCACATTTCAATGCTGCTTTATGCACAGCAATATTTCCAGATGATTCAACACAGCAAAAATTAAGCCAATTTTTAAAAAAGGGAGCGAAAATGAAATTTCAAAATTACTCTTTTACACAATTCTCCAATACCTTTTACTAATAAATTACCAATTTCTCTTTTACCAGGTTTCTCTAAAATTTGAGAGGCTTTTCTATATGCAAATGGAAACCTTTCTCAGGAAAAACGAAGTGTTTTCAGTTTCACAACAGAGGTTTAGAAAATCAAAATCTATGGAAACTGCCATTTTTTTCTTTTATTAAAGATGTTGGTTCATCAATGGACTAAAATGAATCACCCATTGGAATATTTTTAGATCTTTCGAAAGCTTTTGACGTTATTGACCATAGCATCTTGCTATCAAAATTACCTTCTTATGGAAGTGGTCGTATCGCCCTAGATTGGATAACTTCGTACCTTAAACATCAATCTCAGAGTAGAAATACCATACTGGCACGATAGGACATTATTTATTTATCTTTCCAAATCGTTACCAATTGAATATGAGGTTCCGCAAAGCTCGATTTTAGGCCATTCCTCTTTCTGTTATACGTAAACGATATGCTGTCGTCTATTAAAAACGGAAGAATGGTTCTGTTTGCCGATGACACGAATGTTCTTTGCAAAAAAGAAAAAATAAATAGTATGATTTTAGAAGTTTCAAATTAGTTTTGTAATAACAAATTAATAGTTAATAAAGGAAAAATAGTTTCAATGCATTTTTGCCTTTCAAATCAGCAATCGCATGTTCCATTGAAAATGAATTATATGCAATTAGGTGATATTCAGGTAACAAAATAAAACACTAAATTAAGTGCATTATGTTACGCATTCAAAATTCTATCAAATTCTGTCAGCCTTCATGCAGCTTGTTGCATGTATTTTGCAAATGTACATTCCCGCCTGAGATATGGTATGAAATTCTGGGGAAACTCGTCAGATTCTTCTATGTCATCTGCAATCAAAGTCCTCAGACCTTTAGATTGCAAAAGAAAATTATTCAAATAATGAAAAAATGCCATCCGCTTTACCTTTGCAAGCGTCTCTTCATTGAGCTTGGAATCTTACCACTGCGTTGCCCATATATTTACAAATCTGTAATATTTTTCAAAAGTGACATACTTAACGATGGGAACATATTTTCATGCAATACTGGTATTTATAATTACAACACACCTCGTGATATAAAGTTTCAGTATCAACAGCTCACTATCAGAAATCCACATACAATACATGTACATTACTTTACAACACTCTGCCAGATGACATATAACAATTGAAGTCAGTTCTCAAATTTAAGTTAAACGTAAAATCTTTTCTGCTGCATAACTGTTTCTATTCAATTAGACTATACTGATTATCAAAATGATAAATAATGTTTATTTTAACAAAACAGTGATATATAATGAATTAGTTTACATTTGTATTCTATAATTTTTTTAAAAGACTTCATATGTTTAAAACAAATAATGTACTTCAGCTTCCAGGGCAGTGACCCCCATATCTATCAGGTTTTTGTCCAGTTTCCCTGATCCATTGAGCAAATGCTGAGATGTTCCCTTGTTTTGCTTCTGGATGTAAATGTAACTTCACTATGTGCACGTTTTGTTGAACTCTCCTTTTGCTTGTAATGGTAAGAGTAGAGGTAAGGGTGAGTTGCTTTTGTGTTAGCAATGCAGAAAAATCATACTTGCAATTTGTGTACCAATGCAAATAAGTTTTCTATAACTCAGAAACAAAAATGAGTATTTTTCAAATATTACTAATCTTGCGATTTTAAAAATTTATTTTTATGTATTTATGTTAAACTTTTACTCATCTTTCAACTATTTATAGCTAAAATGATGGGAAAGGATTCTGGAACTTAAGAAAACGTGCGCAGAATATCTTTTCCCCCCTTACATCATGTACAGTTTTTTGGGCTGAATAAATCTAAATCTAACTGTATTGACTGTCTTCCTTGCCCTTCTTAGGTATTGGGTACATCCCCATCTCCATTCTTGTAAAAATCTCTCATCTCAACACCTCGTAAATATTTTCTTCAGATTGTCTATTCATTCTTTACCGCCACATCCACATTTTATTCCCTAATTCTTTGGCCTCTCTCACTCTTGTATCGTTCTCTTCTTTCATTTTTTCCTTCTCTGCCTCTGCCTCTGGCTGCTCTTTCACTCTTATCTCTTTTTTCATCTCTTTATTCTCTCTCTTCTCTTTCTCTCTCTCTCTCTTCTTTTTCTCTCTCTCTCTCTTCTCTTTCTCTCTCTCTTCTCTTTTTCTCTCTCTCTCTCTTCTCTTTTTTTCTCTCTCTCTCTTCTCTTTCTCTCTCTCTTCTCTTTCTCTCTCTCTCTCTCTCTTCTCTTTCTCTCTCTCTCTCTTCTCTTTCTCTCTCTCTCTCTCTCTCTTCTCTTTCTCTCTCTCTCTCTCTTCTCTTTCTCTCTCTCTCTCTCTTCTCTTTCTCTCTCTCTCTCTCTCTCTCTCTCTTCTCTTTCTCTCTCTCTCTTCTCTTCTCTTTCTCTCTCTCTCTCTCTCTTCTCTTTCTCTCTCTTTCTCTCTCTCTTCTCTCTCCCTCTCTTCCCTTTCTCTCTCTCTCTCTCTCTCTTCTCTTTCTCTCTCTCTTCTCTTTCTCTCTCTCCTTTTCTGCCTATTGCATAACGTTATCAGTTGATTCCTTTCATTGTTTGGCACCTGTTTGTCACTTCTCCATTTCTTATGTATATTTCTTATTTCATATTTTTTCCTGCTTCACTCAGCATCCCACCATTTCTTTCCCTTCTTTCTAAATGTGTTATTCTTTTTACTTTTGTTAATTCATCTTAATTGTTGAGCAATGTCTTTAACTTGTCAACTCTTCTCATTTCCGCTACATTCCCTTCTTATTTCCCCAAACTTATTTTTGTAAATTTTTACTCCTCTTGTGAGACAGTCTCTTCATATATTTTCCTTTTCATATGCTCTTCCCTATCACTCATTCTACAATAACTGGAATGTGTGTCATACAGTGGCGGCTGGTAGGGTAGAGCCAGTGTGCCATGGCACCATCAATAAAAAGAAAGGAAAATAAACTTTTCATTTCAAATGTGTGTGTAAAATATTGTTTCTTCAAAATAGTTTTCTATGTAGTAATTCATTTGAATGAGCGCTTACTCCTTCGAACTTCTATCAATACTCTCTTTAAACACACTGGACGTGGTGATATCTGTCAGCTACCTCCTGAAGAACCTCTGAGCCACCTATGTATTGGCTCTTATCTATGCCCATTTAATGCATATGAAGAACGTTGTATAGGTTTCTATGCATCTCTTATGGACGAGACGATACAAAAGTTCACGTTCTCCTTCATAGAGTGCACTAATGGCACTATTTTCATCATGCAAAGTATCTCTCGTTCAGGATGACCCAATGCCCTGGTGTTTCGTATGACTTTCCTTTTGTTTCGCACACAGCAGCGTATGATATGGGTATAAGGCTTCCCCTCTTCTTCCTGTACCCTTATTCAGCGAACACAGGAAGCTGTGACCGCTTGAGATTACTGTGGGTCTTTGAGGCTGAGTATTTTGTGTGTTGTTGTTATTATTGTTATATTATTATTATGATTATTATTATGATTATTATTATTATTTCCCAATTTAATCTTCATTATAAGTTAATGAAGATGGTCACTGTAAAATTAAATTTTTTTTCTCACAAATTTCACTTTAGAGGTTACTAAACCAGTTTTAAAACATCGCATCTATGTTTAAAAATATCAATGATGTTGATCTATGTTTTATCAAAATCGAAGTTCTAATTTTGAACATCAATGTTTTGTATTCAATGTCACATCACTAACTGGCACCACCAATAGAATTCCATACTGGCTGCCACTGGACACAAATCTACTCGAACACCCTCTACCTTTAGACTAGCAATTTCATTCGATTCATCCTCCCCCATAATCACAAAATTTATAATTGTTCCCTTTTATCTACCACCAATGTTGGTATACTTCCCCTTCCCCTTCTTTTCCTCCATTAACAGCCTTCTTCCTCTAATTTCTAATTAGAAATTAGACTTTCTTATTACTTTCTCCCCTCCTTATTTACTTCTTTATCTTTTGTTTTTTCTTCACAACTTATTCCTCTCTCTTTTCAATATGTAAATAGTTTGCTTTTTTTTTATTATTTTACCTACAGTCATTCTGGGTGAAACATCTGTTCTGGGTATTTTGCATAATATTGATTGTTTGAATTCTTAAAAAATACAAATTGGATAAGAACATTTATAAAATAGTGCTCTGGAACTTTTTGGTGAATTTACATAGATGTTCCTTTTCACATTTCAGGAGGATGATTTAAAATGGGTAGAAGAAAATATTCCTTCTTCGATGCCTGATACGTAAGTAATTAATTACATTTCATGTATTTATTAATGCAGGGGTTATAAGTTAGTATATTTTTAACACGTATATTGAAAGACAATAGATATAATTTTCAAATTTTAATCTGAAATTCTTTTAATTTAAATTAATACAAATATACCCATACTATATAATTGTAATAGTATATTTTGAAACTGTATTCATTATTCACTTCACAATTGTATCATGTACAGGTATTTAAATATATTTTTCTGGGGTAATTCTTTAAGAAAATTATCGTTCTATTTCAATTTTTACAGTTATTTCATGTCTTTTCAGGGCTTTGCCTGTACTGGATTCTGATGAGGTAATATGCAATTTCTTATCCTTAATACTAATTATCCATTTGAAATCATTATTAAATTACTGTATTTATACTTAATATAAGACGAGCCATGTATACCGTGAAATTTGGGGGGGAAATTCACCCAAATATAAGATGGCCTTTGTTTTTATAACTTGAAATCAGTTTCCAACTAGGTAATGAAATTGGAGGGGAGGGGAGGAATCTATATAATTCACATTTTTATTAACATTATGCATAAATAATTTTGTGCATAGCAATGTTTTATACACTACATTAATTAAACTTTCATTTTACTTCATTCAATTTAATCATGTCTCTCAATCATCTTCACTTGTTTGATCGTCACTCAACTCATGTCCATCATTCTCATTCCATAATACATCATCTTCTGTGCCATTCAGAATGTTGCTTACACAGCACTTTGAAATCTTTGATTATGCATTCAGTAGAAATAGTATTAGCAGTTAAAATGCAGTTAGATTCCCCTGACCAAGCTGTTCAACTGAAGAGTTTTTTTGATGTTGCCTGAAGGAATTAATGGGCAGTTTGATGATAAGTCACCAGTCATATTGGTGTCTGAGTTGGTGCTTGAAAGTTTTGTTCAGTCACATCAAGGACTTGCAACTGTGAGGTCATGCCCCTGGTACGAAGGTTGCCTTTTATGTTTCGGGATTTGGCAACCCTGGTGTTGCAATCTGCCAATTGACAGCTCTATTGTAAAGTTGGATGTTTTGAGGTTATAAGGGCCCAGAACGTTTTGACATTCGAGCGCTATTTGTGTTGTTTACAGTAACTTGAAAGATTCATCTTGGCTCAAAAATGGAATTAAATCGTAAACATTTTCGTGCGATTATATTTTTCAACTTTCTACGTGGATTAACTCAGCAACAGGCATGGATGAACTTAATTCAATTTTTGGCGATAAAACTCTATCAAGGACCAGTGTTTATCGATGGTATGGTGAATTTAATCGGGGTTGTAGTTCACTCCAAGACGAATTTGCTGAAGGTCGTACCAAAATCAGTTTGTTCCGAAAACCAATTGAATTGCTGTGCGTGAACTGATTATTGCCAAGATCGTCAGTGAGACCTATCGTAAGATTGAGATAATCTTAGGCTTAGTGCGGACCAAGCATAATTCAAATTAATTGCGAATGAAACATTTTCGACTGTCAAAAAAATTTGTTCGCGTTGGATCCCCACCACAATTTTGTCAATCGCTCATAAAAAAGGCTCGTGGCGATTGGCGTCCATCCTTAAAGAACTCCTCAAAAGATACGCATGGCGGTTGCATTCGAAAACACGTCTATGACATCCGTGGACAGGTGTGAATCGTGGATTACGCGTATGAGCCCGAAAGTAAACGGCAGTCGACTGTATGGGTGTTTCAAGATGAGCAAAATTCAACAAACGTTGTTCGCGCACGAAGCACTGCCAAACAGGTGGTCGCCTGTTTTTTCGAAAAAACTGGACACGTCGCAATCGTACCTCTAGAACAACGCAGAACAGTCGATTCTGAGTGGTACACAACGATTTGTTTGCCAGCTGTCTCCCAAAAAATCAGGAAAACCAACCGCCGAAGACGGATCACTCTTCAGCACGACAATGCGAGCTCTCACACATCGGCTCAAACACTTGCATTTTTGCGCACCCAAAACATAGATTTGATGAATCATCCGCCGTATAGTCCTGACTTGGCACCGAATGACTTCTTTTTATTCCTGTACGTAAAAAACAAACTGAGAGGTCAACGTTTTTCGACACCTGAAGAAGCGGTTGCTGCATTCAGAATGAATGTTTTGGAGATACCTCAATAAGAGTGGCAAAAGTGCTTCGACAATTGGTTCAAACACATGCAAGTGTATAGATCTTCATGGGGAATGTTTTGAAAACAATAAAGTGATTTACGATGATTAATATTTGTTTTTTGTTCACTAGTCCTGAAATATAAAAGGCAACTCTCGTATCACTACCAAATCTGTTTTTAGACTAGCAACTTTTTTTTCACTTCTTCTGTATGTAAGGTGGCCTTTAAAGGCATCAATGGTAATAGGGCTCCCGGTTGCTTATCCCAAACTTTTTAAAGCCAAGAAATCATCAAGCTTTCAATTGTCCACTCTGATTCATTACATTTAAAAATTATTTCACTTCATAGTTTTTCTTTGGGCATATTCTTTTCAGGATAACAAGTGGTGGTGGCTTCCTGCCATCTGCCAACACTCCCAGCTTGACCATAACACGCCTTTTGTCATTTCCAGATGTTTTTGTAATAACTGACTTACACCCTTTTGTAGCCACTGTAATGTTAGAAGGCATGTCAAAGTACATGGGGGGTCTCTTCCGCATTCCCCATTTGACTTAACAAATGGTTGTGTTGATGCCGCAATTGTATAATGTAGTTTTTTTATTAATCCTTCAGCAGGAACATCTTGCTGAGTTCTGTGAATGGGCACACTGCAGCTTTTGCACTTGTGTTGTATTTATTGTCTTCAATTTGTGAGTTATAAAACTATAGGAAGTAAATTAGTTACTTTAATGATTTTTATTTGAAACATTTGACATTAAACCTTCCACAAAACAGTTGAATCGACATCTTATTGATCAGTAGTACAATCAATAAAATTGATAATGGAAACACTAGGTTTTTTACAAACATTCTTCTTACGTTACTGAAAACTTTGCCCCTGTGTGTGCCATAAATAAAACAAATACCTCTTTGATGGTGTTTGGTGTTTTGTGTAGTGTTGTTTTTATGTAGTGTCCCTTTCATTGTTGGAGATTAATCTGATTCAGAATTCTCATTTCATGTTGATTTAATTTCATGATTTGCTTCTGTTAACCACAACATAATGACATATATTTTCATGAGTATATATTATTATTTTTGCATTAATTTTGAATTTGATTCCTTTTCTTTCACCAATGGTTTGAAATTTTTATTCCACGAATTTTTTTAATACTCTCCTTTTAAATGTTTATTTTTCCCCTTTACCCCAATTGCCATGTGATGTAATCTGTTCATGTTCTCATACATATTATCTATATGTGAATTTATTTCTGCCATTTGTGTTTCAATTTGTACAAAAATATTGTCAAGTCATTATTAAATCTTTAATTTATATTTTGAGAGTTTGGTCATTTTTGTAGCTCATTTCATTCCAGAAATAATTAATACTACAACGTTGACCAGAAAATAAACCAAAGTATGTGTAACCTCTCTCTGAACCCTCATCATGAGATTTGAATCTCAATTTTTGAAATTGTGAAGGTTTAGATGAAAATCTGACTTATCATATTGATCAGCCCACTTTGCTCTATTTTAAAGGAAATTCTTTTCGTGGTTGTGAGAAAAAGAGAATGAAAATTAGTTTTAAGAATTGAGAAGAACCTGTTACTGTTATGTTCTCTTCTAATTTATTTATTAAATGATTCTTGTCTATTTCTGAATTGTTCTTAAGATTTAATAATGTGTGAACATGATCATGCATTTAATACTTGATCAGTTTTTGGTAGAATTTATTACATCTTTTCTTTAATTTGCAGGAAATAATGACTACAAAATTTGAAGTATCAAAAATGCAGTGATGCAGGCAAGTTTGCATAACTTGCACAAACATTTGTATATGTATTGTGTTCATCCTGGAAGGTGCAGAAACAGGACTGCTTATTCTTTTCTTAGAGTTTTACAGACTTTTAGTACTTGTTTCAAATGTGATAATTCTGAAGAATGATTGACATTGTCTCTGACTCGTGATGTTTAAAAAAATATTTTCTTTGTTTTCATTGTTTTTCCTAGCTTTGTGTTATATATTTTGCTGTTATATTTTCCATGATGCACACATGAAGAACTGTGTTCCATTGTATTTATGTATGCTGGCACACCAAAGTAACGGTAGTTACACTTAATTAAATTGAAGACTTGTGCATTTTGCAGTATTAACTAATGTTTATACAATGGGAAATAAAAATAAAACTGACATTTTTTTCTGATCTAAACTTTCTTGCAAAAATGACAAGAACAGATGTTATTTTTGTTGTAAGTTTATTCATGTAATACACGTTACTCACATATCATGTATTACGTGTTGAACTCTTGTATCAAATTGTAACAAATATTTTTCTTGTAGATTTGTTGTGACTGGGATGTTCTAGATTTTACAGAACATTATCAAATTTAGTCTCCAGAGAATGTTCTTGCAATTTGTATTTTGCAGCATAGACTGTTTTAAAACAAAATAATTTGATCTTCCATTGCTTTCATACTATCATAATCTATTTGAATTTGGAGTTATTCATTAGTGAAGAAGAGGAATATTTATTAAACATTTCTTTAAAAAAAGTTTCAAAAATTCCATTTTTTCATTCTTAGGTTTTAAAAAGAAAATTTTATTAAGATTTTCTGATTTGAAGTCATAAATTTAATGAGCATTCTTGTAATTTTATGTAGTTCTTAGTGAAAAGGCAGTTGAGTGTTCCAGTGAACTGAATCTCCTCTGCATCACTCTGTCTTGGGCAAGCCTGCTCTAAGCCAATATTTACTTGTTTGTGAATTACTATTTTTTTAATTGAAACTTAGGTCAGTTATAAAGAAAAAGGATAATTTTATATTTGTTAACAACCAATTTGAAAGTGCAAGTCTGTTTTGCTTGAATAATATAATTTTAGGTTTAGGAACACCTCTGTTCCTCACATTGGCTGTGGTCCTGTAAGATTATTAACTATTCAATGTTTTTCAGTTCCTGCTGTATCTGTAATTGTACATACAATTTATGCAGTACAATAAAAAAAACTTTCTGCTATATATCAGTTGAATATTTTAAGACTGATGTAGAAAAAGAGCATGTCTGTTGTGTACAATCGTTTATTAGTAGACAGTGGCGGCTGGTCCCTTTAATTAATGGGGGGTGGGGGCAGGGCTGCATGCAAATATAGAAAATTAATAGATATACATTCAGTACCAGTATAGGTCCTTCGTGAGCATTAATATTGCACTTCTTGAAGAGTTAAGCTTCCAAATTTCAGTTTTTAAATATTGAACAGAATTACAATTCATATCGATTCCAAACTTGAACTAGTGGTGCTAAAACCACATACTTTCTCGCCCGTACTTGCACACAAAGTAATGTGAAAAGTACTCAAATTTTTGAAAAATTGTACATGATCTTATTCCAAAATATATCTATAAGGAACTGAAAAAAAAATTGAATTTTTAAAATTTCGAAAAATTAGGCTTTTTAACGAGTGTGTGCCAAGGTCGTCAAGCGAAGTACCCCGAAAAATTAAATTATCGGTTTCAAATCCAAGGGGCCGCGACATCAGCCAGATCGAGTGGGGAATAACGATTTTGGATAAAATCGGCAGAACAGTTTAGGCTAGCGGCTAAACCGATGAGCCAATATTCTCCAAAATTGTTATTCCACAATCGATCTGGCTGACGTCGCGGCCCTTTGAATTTGAAACCGATATTTTATATATTTAGAGTACTTAACATGAAGCCTCTGGGACATTCTAGAAATTAAAATTTTAAAAAAGGCTCCATCGGTTTTTATTAATTTCGTTATTGATAGTTTACATGATTTTTAAAACTGGTGGACGTATGATATAGTTGAGGTGTTGTATATTGTTTTTTGTTTTTTTTTTTACTTTCTCGCTACGGAGTTGAGAAAAAGTTATGTAATGGTGCGCAAAATACGTGGGAATTTTCGGTAGAAAAACCCACATTACAGGGCCCTGGTAACGAAAGTGGATAAATCTAGTTTCTAAATTTAGAAATAAACTCTTAACACGTGTTGTAGCCAGAATCCTTGTGGGCTCATGAAACCGAAAAATCCAATGATGTCAAACGGTTTGTCTGTGTCTACGAACAACGCTAGCTGCACAGACGGACAGATACATTTTGCCGGCATTCAATTTCAAAGACACTAAACAAGGATTCTAGCTATACCACGTGAAAGAGGATTATTCTTTCGAAAATTTTGCAACTAAATTTAACCATATTTTCGTTACCAGGACCCTGTAATGGGTTTCTCTGCAGCATTACATAACTTTCTCTCTACTCAGTAGCGAGAAAGTGTAAAAAAAACAACAGATAAAAACAACATACAACTCCGCAACTATATCATGTTCTCCAGAGCTTTAAAAATTATGCAAACGTCGTGCAAAACGAAGGAAGGGACTGCTTTTCCTATAGGCCGTAGAGTCCCCAAATTGACATAGAAACAGTGGGGGAAGCGAAATCAACTATGGCCCCCACTCTTCGCTGCAAGCATCAAGGGCTGGCAGTCCAGGGAGGGAAATGGAATCGCAAGATAAGCTGACAGAAGCTTTTCGCAAGTTACACGCGCACCAGCAGTGCGCTACATTGGTCATGTAATTTTACGAAATACTATTTCGTATATGTATTATTTTAATATCAAAAAGAAATTAAATAATTCTGTCAAGTACTGGGGGGACTGCAGCCCCTCAGTCCACCCCTACCAGCCTCCACTGTTAGTAGGACATCTTTAATCTAGATTGGGTTTGTTGAGAAGTGTTGTTGAGTGTGTCTAAATATATATACACACACACACACGAGCAGACCCGACAGACTTCGTCCTGTCCAAAAGATTTGTAATGTGACAGTTTTTCGTTCCTACATATTTTATGAATAGTCGTGGGCAAAAAAATATCTCCTAAACAGAACCCGTCACCTGTGAATAGGCGTTTCTGAGATAAGAACTATAATTAAATGAAAACATATAAGCATTTAAAAGTAAGTATTCGCTTTACTTGTTAATCGTATGAAGTCATAATATTCAAACAATCAGTTTATGTTTCATTAAGTGCTTTGTGATTTCAATGTTTTTTTGTTGATTACCTGGCACATAGACAAACGAGAATCTGATGGTTTGTCCAACACGGAACAGAACATACAAAATTGACCATTGAGAAACAATGGGTTTTCCTGATTTGAATTACAACAAACAAATGAGTTGGCTCCTGCGGACTTGTTTATGTCATAGCAAAAGCAAGCACGAACTGCAACATGCTAGTCGTTTAAAGTTAAACGGCACATCAGTCAGAATGTCATTGGGCAATTCGCGGTTGAGGACGTCTTCTCCTTTATGACTTTCCTTTCAGTATAGTTGCTTCTTATTCACGTTGTTTAGTCAATTTTTATCGTTCGAAAACGCGTTGCCGTGCAAAGACTCGGTGGTTGCATATTCACGAACATATATTAACTACCGGATCCAACCTTTAACTTGAAGGATGTTGTGAGTGGCATTCGCTACAAAATCAGCCAATTTTTAGAAATTTGGTGGATAGTTCCATACTATCATCTTGATTAGTACCCCAAATCAACTGATTCCTGTATCCTCGCAATTCCGGCTATCTTGTTTTTGAAGTTTTTAAATTCTAAGCCATTTACAGTCAATGTTTTTATTGCAGCCAAGTATCAGCTCGTATCGCTCAAAACAATTCATGGTTTCTGTAAATTTGAGGAAACATTAAAAAACACCTTCTGAAAAGTTCAATCTTTTGACTCGAGTTAACTGACAAAAAACTATGAGCGAAAGTTAAGGCAGGCAGTCAAAACATTCTATAGGAAATTTGCCATTACCAATGTCAATGAAGTGTTATAGAGAATATGTTTCCAGATTGGTCATTTTGCAAACTCGACTCGCAATCTTGCTTAATTAAATTACATCTGACATGTTTTCCCAAATTGGAGGACTTTAGACATGCATTGAGTTCATCAGCTGGTGTGATGATCGTGGAGAATCACTAGGCAATGTTGACAAAATCTCGCTGCTATAATAAAAATCATTTCACTACAAAATTGTGAGTCTATGATTGCTCCATAATTTCTTTTAGATGTTCTGTACTGAAAGCCTAATGGATTTTTTATGTGCCATCGTGCAATTCATCCCAATACAATTAATTACCATTGCTGCAAGACCCTTGATCTATGGCAGAGTTTCAGAAATGTTGCAAGGTCAGGTGTTTCATATTGCTTTGGTTTTAATGGCCCAATTTTATAGCTGAATGTGCTTGTTCAGATCCACCTTCAAAGGCAAAGTTGCTGCCGGATTCCGACGAGCGGAGTGCAGTGCATTTTATTTTGTGATGGCAAATCGTTGTCTAATATTATGAAATCAAAAAAAGTTTTTTCCTTTGCTACCACCACAGGCTGCAATGCTAAGAAGTAAAAATCCCCTCCCAGTTTCATCATTTTTACTTTCATTAAGTACAGTATCAAAATACATTATTTTCTGTTGGTTTGATTATCAAACAGTTGCAAGAGTTTGTTTGAATTAATTCTTTCAAAGTGTTGAGATCATACAGTTTTTCTCGAGTTCAAGACTCTTGGTTAAAAGCTCATGCATTGGACGAATTGGCTGTGCCAGGCCATATTGAATTATAGTTTCTTGACATCAGCACATTATCCCTT